TTGGTATGAAAGATTGTCAAATTTTTTAATTGAAAAAGGTTTTTTAAAAGGAAAGGTTGACACTACATTGTTTTTAAAGAGAAAAGGTAAAGATTTATTAGTAGTTCAAATTTATGTTGATGATAATATTTGGTTCTACTAATGATGTTCTTTGCCAAGAATTTTCTAAGCTAATGCAAAGTGAGTTTGAGATGAGCATGATGGGGGAGCTCTCATTTTTCTTGGGACTCCAAATCAAGCAAAGAAAAGATGGCATCTTCATTAATCAAGCTAAGTACGTCAAAGATACTCAAGAAGTTTGGACTGGAAAATGGGAAACCTCATAACACTCCAATGAGCTCTTCAACAAAGCTTGATTTAGATGAGGAGGTAAAGTGTAGATGTTAAATTATATAGGTCAATGATTGGCTCTTTGCTTTATCTAACTGCAAGTAGACCGGACATTATGTTTAGTGTTTGCTTATGTGCTAGATTTCAATCATCCTAAGGAATCACATTTACTAGCTGTTAAGAGAATCTTTAGATACCTTAAGGACACTCCTAGTTTAGGACTTTGGTATCCTAGAGACTCTAGTTTTAGCTTGCATGCTTTTTTCTGATGCGGATTATGGAGGATGCAAATTAGATAGGAAAAGCACCTGTACTTGCCAATTCCTTGGAAATATGCTGATTTCTTGGTTTTTAAAGAAACAAAATTGTGTTGCATTATCTACCACTGAAGCCGAATACATTTCAGCTGGTAGTTGTTGTGCACAAGTTTTATGGTTGAAACAACAACTTTTTGATTATGGAATTGAAGTAGGTACTATTCCTATCAAGTGTGACAATACTAGTGCTATTTGTCTCACTAAAATCCCATCCAACACTCTAGAACTAAACACATTGAAATAAGACATCACTTCATTAGAGACCATGTCACTAAGGAAGATGTAGTTCTAGAATTTGTTGATACTTTGCACCAATTAGCGGATATTTTTACAAAACCCTTAGATAAAGAAAGATTTTGGACACTTAGAAGAGAATTAGGTTAACTGACCTATCTTCACTTAGTGTTTAAAATAATTTAGCACTTTTAATAAATACTGAAAAATGCTTATAATAATAATTTTTGATTGTATTCTTGCTATTAGTTAGGGGGAGTTTATGATTCTTAATAAAAATTAATTTTATGTTCAAATAAAGTTTGAAGATTAATTTGATTGATTGAACATAATTAATTTTGATATATGAGTTGCCATTACTATTAGAGCAATTATTTAGCATTTTAAGTGTTTTAAAACGGATTTTTGACATTTTGTGCTTCATGCACCGATGCATTAACAATGCATCGATGCATCCTTGAATATGCATCGATGCATAATACCATGCACCGATGCATCCGTCGGGTTTTTAGGTTTAAAATCTTCATCTTCATTTTTCTCAAAACCTAAAACATAAACTCACGGCCGTTCGTCCCACTCTCACCTCAAATCTTTATTTTTGCTCAAAATCTTCGGGAAACATCGGATTCTTCAAGTTTTCATCCTACAAACCTGTTACACTCATTAAATCGCGCAAAACATCTCATCATTCCCCTCAATCCGAATTTTTCAAGGTATTTTCACAAAAACTCTATTTCATTAAATTTTTGAACTTAGGACTAGTTTAGATTAGTTCTAGTTTGAATAATTATCGGGCATTGGCTATATGATGATTCTAAACTAGTTTCTACAACGAATTTCATCAAAAACGCATAATTTTTCAAAATTATTTGGAAATTTCGAATTTAAAAAAAAATTATTTCGAAAATTATTGATTCAATTGTGTTGTTTTCATGAAAACTATGTGTATTATGATATTAATTTTAAATAGTTTTCAAAACTTGCCCATTAGGATTATGTTAGAGAACCTTGAATTATTGAGGACTCATTTGAGTTTTGGGATTGAATTTTGTGCATACATGTGTTTTTAAATTGCATGTGATATTTCTTTTCCGATTTCTCTAACCATGTCTAATCCCAAACGCCCTAGATCATCCTCGAGTCGGTCTCACCAAAATCGTCCTCCCGCTCCTAGACCTCAAAATCCATCCAATATTCCTTCATCCTCATTAGTACTGTTTTAACATGCCTGAAAACCGTAGGGATGAATTGTACTCTAGGTACATGAACTCCTTCCAATCCTATCGTATTAGGGAAGAGCGTATTCATTCTCTACAAGCTATGATAAAACTTGAATTTGATTACCTCTCAATTCTTCGCCGATGGAAGTTTGATAAACTCTTTTCTCTTCAACCCATCGTCTTTCACCAACTTGTCCGCATCTTTTATTCCAATGCGGTTTGTATTCAGAACACAACTCAGTGCGGTACTATAGCGATTAGATCCTATCTTTTAGGACAATATATCACTATTACTTCTGAATCCATCGCATCTCATTTTGGTTTAGATGACGAGGGTTTATTTAATGAGAATGAAGATGTGGAATATCCATATCTTCCTAATGCTAGTGTCAGTACCTTTAGGTCTCACCACGATCGATTTTCACTTAATGATCTCTGGTGGTTTAGACCATCCGCAGGTCGGTACTCCACACTACGTACGATTATGGTGGATGCACTGTATAAAGAACAAAAAGAAAATCAATTTTCCACATAGTGTCTTTAGCGCGCTTGTCGATATCATAAACACCATTCCCTCAAAGCATGTAGAAACCCTACCTTATGGTTGTCTACTAAGCAATTTGTTTATCAAACTCGGCCTAGATGTCTCCCTTGACAATCCTATTCCGCTCCAAAACCCAATCAATATCACATCCTTAAAGAAATCGGATTGGAAATTGGATGAGAACACCGGACTATGGTCTTTTCGACCCGGTAAGCAAACCCCGGGAGCTAGTTGTTCACGAGCTGCTCCTAGTTCTTCTCGTGCTCCTCCTCCTCCTCCAGCTCCTGACGCTGATAATGATCCAGAGCTTCAAAGGCTTATGAGAGATATTGACGAGGAAGTACCAGCTCGGCAAGATGATCAAACGCCACCTTATTTCCAATCTTTTCTAGAGTCGTTTGATCTGCGTTTTGCTTCCATGGAGTCTACAATTACTGAGTTCAGAGGGAGATGCGTGATCGTATGGATGCTCTTACTCTTGAAGTTAGAGCACATTATCCTCCCTCATCCCGATTCCGTAGGATGATTAAACGTTATTGATGATATTGGTTTAAACTTTAAGAACTTGGATTGTTAAACTTTTTGATTTGAATGTTTATGTTTGTTTGGATGTTTGGATGCTTGAATGTTGAACTTAATTTTAATATATTTGGTTTGAATTTTATTCATTTTGCATCATTAGATATACCAATTATGCCATTTCACATTTTATTATGAATTGTTTATGAAAACTAATGGCTAATCTCTTTTGATTGTGATCTTAGCAGCTTATTATTAATAAATCAATTGGCTAATGTTTTTCAAAATCTTGTTTAAAACGTTTATATAGGGTCTTTTTGATTTAACAAAAAGGGGGAGAAAATTTAAGATGTGCTATAGTAAGGGGGAGTAAGTTTTTCAAAATCGATTTCAAAAATAATTTCTTAAACAAATCTTAAAATTATTCAAATTTTGTTATATCAAAAAGGGGGAGATTTTTGAAAACATTTTGATATTTCGATACAAATTAAGTTAAATGAATTTTAAGATTTCACAAATGATTTACAAATTCGATTCAATTAACCGAATATCAAATTATTACTCCAAGTTTTTCAAGATCAATTTTAATCCTTACTAAATGTGTAAAATTGTGATTTGTACTTAAACTATTTTTGAAACAATTTTCACAAAGTATTTTGAACCAAAAACAAGCCTTAAATCAATTATTCAAAGGCATGCACCGATGCATCAGTCCATGCATCGATGAATTAATTGAACATCGAATGCATTCCATGCACCGATGCACTCTCCATGCATCGATGCACTCTGAATATTTTCAAAACATCGAATGCATTTGATGCATCGATGCACAAGCCATGCATCGATGCATCAGGCTATTTTTCAAACATCGAATGCATTTCATGCATCGATGCACACTTGGTGCACCGATGCATCAAGTGTTCCAACGGTCAAAATATTTGAATTTTACACGAATACACCGATGCAAACTGATCATGCATCGATGCATGAGACGCTCCACCTAGAAAAATTAATTGTTTTTCACTTAAACGGCTCTATTATCCCCACTAATTATCACCAACGTTCAGAATTGATTCAAGGGGTATTTAAACAAGTTCTGGAGCCATTGATCAATAACAAGAAACATCAATCAACTAGAATCAAGAGAGAATCAAAGAGAAAGCATCAAACCTCAAGTTTGAGTATTTCAAGCCTATTTTTCATCCAATATTCATTTGCTTTCAAGAACATTTTTGTACTCAATTGTATTTATCCTTGAGTGTTCTTTTCTTTGTTCTAGAATTGTGCAAACATCTTACCTTGTGAGGTTTTCTTGTAAGTTTGCAAATTTGTAATCTTCTCTTTGGGAAAAAGAGTGTTCTCAAGAGTTGGGGTATACTCTTGAGGGATTTTGTAAGGTTATCTCTTTGGCCTCAAAAGAAAGAACAAATTAGTGAATTTGTTGGAAAATCCTTAGTGTGGATAGCTAAGGTAGTGGACGTAGACTTTGTTTGAGAAAGTCGAACCACTGTAAATCGCTGTGCAATTACTTTAAATTTTCTGCAAAAGCTTCCACTAAATTTTTAATTGCCAATTCACCCCCTCTTGGCCGATTCCGTAACAGGTTCAACAAAATACGAGCTCCACCAGGGTTATGAAATGCCCTCCGTGGGACTCGATCCCACGACCTCAAGGTTAAGAAACTTGTTCGGCATATCATTCTTCTTCTTCTTCTTTAGACTTTTATGGGGTTTGGTTTGGAACTATTTTTGTGCAATTATAATCTAGTTACTCGTACAAACTAGCTCTTACATTTGTATTTTAGACATAGTTAAGATAGAAAATGATGTGCAGAATATGAAGATGTGCAAACGAAAAGACAGAATGTGATTTATAAGTTTTGAGGCAGCAATCAAGTCTTCCATTTTAGAGTCTAAATCTGGCAACAATCAATGTAAGATTGGATCCATTTTGATAAAGTCGAAGCTGGCAGCAAAACAGTGGGCAAAGCTGCAGAGTTTTGATTTTCCAGTCTAGGGGGAATGATGCCGAGCTAGCAAAGGAACTTCAAATTCTCCGAGTGGGCCTGTGGGAAGAGTATAGGAAGGTGGAACGATTCTGGCACCAAAAGTCCATGATCAAATGGATTTCGGAAGGCGACCGGAATACCAGCTTCTTTCACATGTTTGAGTCAACAAGAAGAAACTGTAACCTGATTAGTTCACAAAAGGTGAATGGTGCTGTTTTAGATGACCCGGATAGTTTCAAACTAGCTGTTCAATCCCATTTCAAAGAGGCATTTAATGTCAAGTCAACCTTGGCTGTTCATCAGTTGAGACTGCCGTTCAAGAAATTACAATTGGAGGAAGCCAGTATGTTGGAGTTTAAGTTTACAGAACAGGAAAATTTTCAAGCCTTAAGAAATTCGGATGGTAATCGAGCCCCAGGGCCGAATGGTTTCAATTTCAACTTCCTCAAGAAGTTCTGGCCGGATTTTAAGAGCTATATTCTGGCGTTTTTTTGAAGATTTTTATGATAATGGAAAACTGGCATAAGTATCAACCACTCTTATATATCCCTAATCCCAAAGAAATCCAACCCGTCGACAATCAGCCTGGTCGGAGGTATGTACAAGCCGCTAAGCAAGGTGTTGGCTAATCGACTTCGAATCGTGTTGGGCTCGTTAATTAGCAGCTCTCAGTTCGCGCTCATTCCCGGATGTCAAATCTTAGATTGCTCATCGGGTTTATGAAGGAGATGGGATTTGGAAGCCGGTGGTGAAACTGGATATTTAACCGTATATCGTCGGCCTCAATTTCGGTACTAGTTAATGGCTCTCCATCTAGCAGATTCCGTTTGGCAAGGGGCTTAAGACAGGGGTGCCCGCTTTCGCCGCTGTTGTTTAATCTAGTTGGTGAAGCTCTGAATTTGATGTTGGAAAAGGCGACGAGAGTGGGTCTGTTCTCGTGCTTTATGGTGGGTTACGGTGATAACGCTCTGGAGATATCACATTTACAGTTTGCCGATGATTTAATTTTGTTTTGTGGAGCGTCGGAGAATCAGGTCCAAAATGCAAAGAGGGTTCTCCGAGTTTTCGAACTAACATCGGGATTAAAATTGAACCTTAAGAAATGTACACTTTTCGGTGTAAATACCTGCGCTCATGAGGTGCGTGGTTGGGCATCCAGGGTCGGCTGTTCGGAAGGCAAGCTGCCATCAGACTATTTGGGATTGCCGTTAGGAGCAAAGAAAAATAATAGGTTGATTTGGCAGCCGGCATTCAATCGGGATTGCCATCAGACTATTCGGTATAATATGTTTGCAAGCCGATTGAATGGGGAGTATCATCGATTTAAAAATTACGAATTGTGGATTGCTTGGGAAGTGGTTCTGGCGTTTTGGTTGGGAAGTCTCCTCACCTTGGAAATGCATCGTTGCTGCCAAATATAACTTCGATCCGGGTGATATTTGCCTCCCGAGCCTGAGGGGCCGAGGCTTGTCATGGATGTGGCGTGACATTCTGCAGAATTTCTACGAGGAGATTGGTGGCCAAAACTTAAGGGATATCTTCAAAATCCAAGTCAGTGATGGGAGGAGAGTGAACTTTTGGCAGGATACCTGCATTGGTAATTGCCCACTAATGATTGCTTTTCCTAGAATGTTCGCGCTTGCACTTAATAAAGAAGGGAAAGTGTCAGACTTCGGAACTAAAACAAATAATGGTTGGGTTTGGAGCATACAGTTTAGGAGAAATGTTTTTGACTGGGAGAGAGATCAATTCGATGCCTTTTTTCGTTTGCTGCATGAGTTTGAGCCTCAGCGTTTAACCTAGATCGAATAAAGTGGCTGGGGAACAATGATGGGCGTTTCTCGTCAAAAGGCAGTAGCGGTTTTGCAATTCCCTGCGGGCAGAGCTGAGTTTGATTGGAAAGCGTTAGTATGGCAAGGAATTGCTCCTTACAAGGTAGAGGCGTTTGTCTGGCGGGTCCTCCTCAAAAGAGTCCCGGTTAAATCGGAACTGGTGAAACGTGGAGTAACGGTGGTGTCGGATAGCCGCTGCCCATTGTGTATGGAAGCTAGGAATCGATACCCCATTTATTTTTCTCATGTGGTGCAGCTTGGTGGGTATGGGGAGCTTTCCTTCAAGTCTGGGAGGTTTCCTCTGTTTTGCCAAATGATCCCAAGTTATTCTTTATGGCGTGGAAAGAGCTTCACCCTATAGGCTCTAAGTGTGGAATTGTTTGGGGCATCATTCCATTGGCAGTGATCTGGTCATTATGGTTACATAGAAATGAGTTGGTATTTAATCAAAAGAATCTTGACGTGAGACAGGTGATATTTTCTGCTAGAGTTAAGGTGGTTTGTTGGTTAGAAGCAAAGTTCAAAGGGGCTCCTTTCAGGAAAGAGGACCTTCTTGCAGATTTATCGCGTGCTCTGATTCAATTCTATAGAAGAGAGCCCTTGGAGACCTCCCCGCGGGTACCCTTAAGTTTAATGTGGACGGGACTATGAGAGCGGATGGATGTGCTGGGGGAACGGAGGTGTTCTTAATAATGTAGGGAGTTGTTACTCCGCTTTCGGCTCCAATTGGGAGTTTCCTCGCTGATGGCAGAAGTGTTGGCAATCAAGCTCGCGTTATAGCTGTTTATGGCTTCGGAATGGTCAATAACCATAGCTTGGTAATAGAATCAGATTGTGAGTTGCTGGTTAAGTATTTGCTAAATGTATCCATGATCCGTCGGAGTGGTCGTCTACTCTTCTTCCTATTGCATCCCGACTAGCTCAGGCAAAGGTGAACCTTAATTTTGTTCCTAGAAGGTGTAAACAATGGCTGACTGGTTTGCAAAAAAAAAAAAAAAAAAAGCCGATTGGGTGAAGTGGCATCATGGTGGCGTGAAGGGGTTGAAATGTCGGGTGGTGGTTGATTAATCTGGGATGAAAACAGAAGGTAGGTTTCAAAGGGCAGGGAGGTGGCTGCTATGCCCAAGTGTGCCCGTGATAGTTTTTTAAGGGCTTAAGTATCATGGTTGGGTTATCCCGATTGCGTGCACCAGTGAGTTGAGGGCTGTGTATTTAATAGGTGGTGGTACTCTGGTGCAACCATAGATTCTATTAGGGTACTTTTTGTATGTATATACATTGATTAAGGTGCACTCTTTTCCTCCGGTTCACAGAACTTACTATTTACTTTTAATAATTTTAATATTTTTTCTTTATTATGATGCTATTTTGTTAATTTAATTAGTTCAATTCAACATACAATTCAACATAAAATTAAAATTTTAAAATCAAAATAAATGAAAAAAAAATCTTAAAAAGTCCTACAATTGATTCGTGACCATAACAGGAACTAGATTATCTGTTTCAACAAGACTCTGGGAATCATTGACGTGTTATAGGCCGAATTATGGACAATTCATACCGGTTGTTTTGCATGGTAAAATGCAGAGACGGACGTAAGATTTTAGATTAAGGGGGGTGGACTTAAATTAAAGGTGACAAATTAAAATCCTAAGAGACGAAATAAATTTTCAATAAAAATATATAAAATATTAAAAATATTATAATTTTAAATTTTCAGGGAGCGATCGTCTCATTTGTCCCCCCGATCCATCCCTAGTCGAATGGATTTGATAATTTGTTGAAATTAACGATGTTCTTGAAATGGGCCGTATTTGGGCATGTGTAGGAAGGTATCTGTTTAGTAACTATAATTTTTATGATGTATTATATTTGTAAAAAAGTAATTTTATATTAATATAGAGTCTAATATTTTAGTACTCATTAGGGGTCATTTTTTCCTCATATTTATTATTTTAATATTTATTATCAAGGGCCTACTGTTATAATTTATATTTTCTAATATTTATATAAATGTCTACTTTTTTGCTAATATTTTTTCTGACATTTGTTATAAAGATCCAAATACTTGTTATTAGAGATCTAATTTTTAATATTTGTTATTATGGGTATGCTTTTAATTCAATTTTTTCTAGTATTTATTTGTTGTTACAAGTCTAATTTTTTCAGTACATTTTGTAGAGGTTTAATATTTTTCTAATATTGTTATTTATAAGAATACTCTTAAAATTTACTTTTTTTCTTATATTTTGTTATATGGACTCATTTTTCTCAATATTTGTTATTATGGAGCTATCCTTAAATTTATTTTTTTCAACACTTGTTATTAAATCAATTACTTAAATAATGATTTGTAACCACAAAAATAACCGTTATGTAGTGATAACAACATCGTCCAAAACTACGATATCCATAATAATTATGTCTAAATATGTAGCTATTAAAAATCCACACCACAATACTTTGGAGTTCATTTCTTCTAGACATAAGAAATTTGGTCCTCCATATTATAAGTCTATTTTAGGCTCTCCAATTCTTATGATTAAAAAAAATATTTTTTAAAAATTTGAAGGGCCAAAAATATTATTAGACCAAAATTTAAACTGCTTGATAAAGTGTCCCTTTCACAATTAAATATGCTTACAGATTAATTTAAATTGTCCTTAAAATAGTTTTATGACTATATCCGTTAACTCCATTAATTCAGTGATTAGGTTGCAGTGTTTAAATGACATTAATACTTTTTTTCTCTAAAATTCAAATTTTATTTCCTTAGTTAATTATAAAAAATTATGGGTAACATTAAAAAATCTGATTACCACGAAAATTCTTGTTTTAGGCTAAACTGTTATTTTACGGGAAAAAATATATAACCTTTTAAAATTAAATATTTGATCCATGATCTTTTACAAGTTTATAGTTAGCCATCAATTTTTTCAAAACTTACATTTTTGGTCACTAACAAAAATTTGAGGTATTACACACATACACATATAAAATAAAAACTGCATGCATAATCACTAAACTATAGGGTAAATTCTATTTTAACTATTCAACTAAACAATTTTAATAAGATTATTTAATTAATTAAATAATATTAATTAAATTATTAATGTTTAATCAAAAAATTACTGTTGGGAGACTCACTCACCAAAGTCAGATGTGCAACGTGGGTCGGTCCTAATTAGTCAATGTGAAGTCTTAGAACCGGGATAGCAACCAAAAAAATACATTATTTTCTAATAGATGAAATTTATTTTAAAACTATTTAAATAATTAGGTGATATGATTGAATTTTTTTACTTCAATAATTCAAATAAAACTTATAATAAACTTTAGTGACTATACATATAATTTACCATATACATACTTATAGGATCAAATCATTTTAAACTACATATAAATAAAAATTTAATATGTTTGAATTTTATATATATATATATATATATATATATTGTAGTTTGAATTTTTACGATTGAATGTACGATTTTGATTTATAAAGAACAGCAGAAGCAGGAAGTAGATAACGACGCTCAAACCAACATTGATATTATTTCATCTCCAACCATTACCAGATCAGATCTCAAGTGTTTCATTTTGTTATATATATATATATATATATATATATATATTAGCAATATATATCTAAGATCCTCTCTTTGTTTCCGATCCTCTCATTCTTCTTCTTCGCCGCTTTGGATCTCGTCGACACTTGACCAGGTCACTTCAATGCCTTTTCCCTTTCCTTTTTGCATCTTTTTTTTTTTCATTTTTGGATTTCATGGAAGCTTCTTCATTGTTTGATTTAGCTTGCTTCTTTCTTTAATTGGAAAAAAAAGAAATTTATTTATCTGTATTACATGTTTTTCTGATACGGGCTGCTATTCTCTGTTTATTTGGTCTTATTTTGGGGAATTGAAAGTTCCATTACTTTCATATTTTATTGGCATCTTTAGATGAGGCTGTTTTGTACTCATTTTTGACTAGTTTTGCTGTTATATTGATTCAGGTGATATATGGGATTTTGGTTGATCTAATCATCTAGATAATCACTGAGTGGTTGATTCTCAGTTCATTTGATGCCCGGGATATTTGTTTGCATACTAGTTGCTTGATAAACCCGAGCAAAATGACAATACTCGTGTTCCAGTGCAGTGCATAGATGGCATTAACTTAGAGTAAGAAAGGAGATGGTAGATTAACTTTAATAAAGAAACAGTTGAATGCATTGAGACAACTGATACTCATAGGGAAAATCAAGGTTCAGCTCTTCGCAGTGAGCCCTCATTCTCTCGCTGGGCTGATGAAGATGGGACAATTCATTTGGAAGACCGTTCTGTGAATACTGCTTCTAGCATAGAAGGTTCTGATTTTGTGTTGCCTATGCTTAATCAGAGTGAGTTAGAAAACCGGTTTGTTGAAGGGATTAGATACAGTGAATTTCAAGAGCATCGTATGCACTTGAATGGTGGAAGTAACATGGAAGATCTAAACGGGAAAGATAGAAACGGGAAATATACACCTTTTAATGTTGAAAATGAGTGTGTTGGGGATATATCAGCAAATATTGGTGTTGATGGAGCTAGTTCTATTGTCAGTCCGAAAGCATCTTGCAACAGTGTTTCTACCACGGATGTGTTGAAGACATTGTTCTTTATACTTGTATGGTACACTTTCAGCACATTTTTGACCTTGTAAGTCCAGAGTAAATTAATTGCTGTAGCATTTTTTTGGCTATATTTAAGACCATATTTTTGAAGCTTGTTCATTTATACTCTTACAATTTACTGCGAGTAGGTACAACAAAACCTTGTTGGGAGATGAATTGGGGAAGTTTCCTGCTCCCTTGTTGATGAATACTATCCACTTCACATTGCAAGCTTTATTATCAAAGGCGATAACGTGGTATTGGTCTCATAGATTTCAGCCCTGTGTTCCAATGTCATATAGGGATTACTTTTACAGGGGTCA